CCCACTTGAGTCAAGGCTCCCCTAGACCCACTCGCCAGGGAGACCAAGTGTGCTGAGCCAGGGGCCATGCAGAGCAGGAAGGGAGAGGCAGTGACAGTGGCAAAGTGGGCAACTGAAGGTATCAGCCAGTCTGAAACATTTCCTTATCACCCGCCTAAGCCTTGTTTGTGTCAAAAGGGAACTAAGTAAACACTGGGCAAAAGTTTCACTTTCGTTTCCAAGCTGTTGCACAATCAGTGCCAGCTCCATTCACTGCTGCCCCACAGCCATGGGCACAGCTCTGGGTACAGCATTGCCACCCCACAGCCATGGGCACAGATGTTTTATAAAGGGTTGACTTCACCAAGATGCTGCTGAGATGTGGAACAGAACCCGTGTGCAAGAACATCCCAGAACCCAGCACGTCAACAGCACCACCAGGAACTGCCCCACCGTCCCACTTCACGTTTTAAGCTGCACGGCAACCCCGGAACTGGATTTGTCTCAGGAAAAACCCCACAGCTGCAGCAAAAGCCCTGCTGACATCACCCCTGGCAGCACAGGCCACCACCACCACCCTGGTACGGTGCAGGCACACAGGGGTCATCCCAGGGGGCAACTCATTAAAATCACACCTTGCAGGCACAGTAGGGCGACCACACTTCTCAGTCAGCCACATGCACCAGCTGGAAACCTCAGCCAGGAGCAGGGGCAAACCCCAGCTGCTCACTGCAGCCAGCATGGGACAGGCTGGTGGAAGGCAGAGCTGGCATGAGACCTGTGAGACGGTACCACAGCATCTGCCCTGGGAAGCCAGTGGGGCCAGAGAAGCCCCAAGCCGCTGCAGGATCGAGGTCCACCCCAGCATCATCCCTTTCCCGCATCCCCCTTCGGTCCTGCCCTTCCTCACTGCCAGCCACAGCTCTGTGGTGACCCAGACAAAAAACAGCCAAAGGAAAAGTGATCCAAAACACCAAACCAGCCCAACTTTGCCTTTCGGGGCACAGGCACCTCCGCCCTTCCCATAGGAACCCAGGGCATGGTACAGCCCCTCAGGGTCCAGCCCTTGTGCCCCTTGTGGGGAGAGGGTTCACAGAGCCGGCCCCATCCCAGCCCCACCACATAAATGAAATTGCAGCCTCTGCCATGGGAGCGCGGCAGCAGCCGGGGCGTGGACGGCTTCGGTGGCTTCAAATTAGTGCCTGGGAGTTGGAAGAAGCAAAACAAACCAGCAGAAACGTGGCAGGGCACCGGGCTGTGCCCAGTGCCTGAAGGGGGTGACAGCCCCATCGCCAGGGGGACATGACGCCTGGCAGGACAGGGAGACAGGGAGGAGGAGGGTGCCCAGCTCAGCCCCTCGACAAGGTGTGGGGGAGGCGATGGCTGGCAGCCACCTGCACCCCCACTCCTCCATCTTTACATGTGCTGCTTGTCTTCCAAAGCAAGCTGCAGACATCTCTGCACCACCATCTGGGCACCTGGACTCCATATCCCCCTCCATGGAAGCAAAGGGACTGGGACTAGCTGCTGGCTGGGACACAGCTCCCTGCCTGCCCCTTTCACAAGGACAGGGACACACAAAGGGACAAAATACTTCAGCATCCCTGCTCCCACTGGTCACCACAGCTTCTTCACTAGAGAACGAGTTTCACGGCACCCAGGCTTCGAGTTCATTATTTATGTCACACTCGAAATCTTTGCATCTGCAAAACTTTCTGAATAATTTATGGTGGTGGATCAGGGAGGAAGAGGGACACGTTTTGCTGAAAACCAGGTCACTCCAAATACCAGCCAAGCAGCGAAGGGAGACAATGGAAACGGGTACAGAAACTCACTGGGGAGAAAAAATCCAACAGCATTTATCTATATACATATACACACACACTCCAGAGATGCCATCGGCATCTGAAGACATTTAGCAAGACCAGCCCTTCAGCAAATGAGGATCATTTTCAACCTTCTAAATTTATTTTTTCTCTAAGGGAAGGATAAAGAGCTGTGAATCAGTCCCATTTCCCTCCGTACCTCGTGAAGGGCAAAAGCAGGGCAGAGCAGCCCCTTCACCAAACTCTGGCAGAGACACTCTTACATGCCCTTATCCAGTCTCACCATCCCTGCACACTGGTGTTGGCATGGGAGCTGCAAGGGGCCAAGCAGCAAACAGGAGAACACTCCTGTCCAGCACTGCCAAGGGCTCTTCCCCCCTCCAGCACCTTCTCCCCACCACAGCCTGTCCAAGCCACCCCTCACTGATACGCAAGGAGCTACATTCCCATCACGCCCATCTTAAAACAAAGAGGATGTGAAATGTTCAGCAAAGGCAAGAGGAAGGAAAATGAGCAAGGATATTGCCAAGACCTCACGTAACTCTCATTGCAGGCCACCATGCCGTGCCAAGGGCCCAGACACCCTCCAAGCTGCTCGTTCCGAGGGTAGCGTGCTTTGAGCCGGGGGTCTGCTGCTCCCTGGGCCTGCCTGGCTCCACACCCACATGCCACGACAGCTGAGGAGCAGCATGCAGACAAAGACAGTCAGATAAGGCCACCATGCCCAGCAATGGGGAGATGAACAATTTGGAGACACCAAAGAAAAATAAAAGCTGGGTAAGAGATGCAAGATCCGGTCATGGCCGGGAATGGCCCCAGATACCACCTGTACTGACTGACAGGGGTGACATCCCTAGCCCTGAGACATCCCCATCCCCAGACATGAGAGCAACACCAAGCAACAGGCAGCAGAGCAGCTCCCTACTCCTGCAGCATCTGCATCCCTGCTGATGGATGCCAGAATGATCCGTAAGGGCTCATAAGACACATCAGACCTTGGACCCAACACACATGGGGAAAGCTGGGACAGATCCTGTCCAGTGCCAGGTCTGCTGAAGCAGTCAGAGGCATCATAGCTCGGAGCAGCCGCTCAGCCAGTGAAGTCGCTCCTACAGCAGCAGAAGGATGTACAGAGTGGCCGAGCATCCAGTCAGGAAGGGAACACCCCTCCCCAGCCTCCCGGACAATGCCCTGCCCCACACACCCCCAAACCTTCCCCCAAAACACCCTGCAGACCGTGCCACACGTGCAGGGGACGTGTTGCTGATTCACATTCCAGCAGAATCGGTGTTATTCCTGTCCCTGCAGCCTGGGTACCCATGGAACAACCCCCAGGCCCCATACAGGAATTAAGGGCTAATCCAGGAACGCATTCAATAGAGGCTACAAAACAATTCAGCCATAAAAACATCCTTATCTCTGGAGGCCGGAGAGCATTCTTCCTGCCCCAGTGCAGCAGCCTGGGGCACGGGGCTGTGCGGCACGGCCACGGCCGGTGGGACAGGAGCCCACCAACAGCCACGAGCCCACAGGGGCTCACAGCACACTCCAAAATACCTGCACACAGAGTGACTGGGGCAAGGGCACAGCCAGCCCCCTCGGCCAGCACCTGCTAAACGTGCCCAGTGACTAAACCCAGAGCCGAGCACCTTTGGGACCCACCAGTTAACTCCTAAAATGTATTTTCAGTGAAGAACAATGCTGTAGGATTTGTTCTGGGATAAAATGAACACTCCAGGCAGGGCCAGGCACTGGCTGCCTTTGGGAAACGCTTCACAGCAGAATGCATCTCAGACCTCCAGAGCCATAAAAGTGACGACAGCTGTCGGATTTGGGGTTTATTTTAACCCAAAATGCCAAGAATTGGTACAATGGGAGTCCATGTAACCCAGATGTTAGCAGCTGCTACTCCAGAGCAGGGGAACTACACCCACAGGGCTTAGTGTGAGATCAGAAGGGAAGGGAGCAGGAATCAGCTCTCCCAGGAATGGAAAGGGTGGTGGACTTGGCCAGATCATCACCTGCCTGCACATCCCAGGGCAACACCCCTGCCTCACAGCCCCACAATGACCCTGCTGTGTCCCCGAGGCCGGGCTGGGGCATCACAGGTGATGCCACGGGGGCTCCATGGCACAGGTGTCTGTCCTGTGTCCCTCTGTCTCCCCATGGCACTAACCAGGGCAGGCTGAGCCTGGCGAGGTAACCAGGCGCGCTGCCAGCCTGAAACCCCCTGGCTGGGGAAGTGCCCTGTGATTTGGGCCAAATAAACTTAAAAAAATGAAAAGCCCCAAATAAGCCTGTGGGGGAAATAGCAGGAACAGAGACACAGCTCAAGGAGCAGCCTACCCACCATGGCACCCCAAAGGTACAGCCCACCCCACCATGGCAGGGGGTGGCCATACAGAGGTGTCCCCAACCCCAGCTGTGGGAACAGGGGCCAGCCCAGCCTGGGCATGAGGGGGAACAAGGATGCTGCCAGCCACAGGTGAGGGTCTCCCCAGCCCTGGAGCCACAGCCTGAACTGCTGCATCCGCCTCCCACCCAGACCTCACCATAGTAGTTTGCAGCTTTGCCCCCCCCCCATCTACACTTTCCCATTGGGGATAGAGGGGTCAGCCCGGTCAGAGCCACAGTGGGGGCACTGGGCACCCCCCACTCTGAGCATCGAGGGGACGGAGGACAACTGGAGGGGTGGGCACAGCACCAACCCATCACCCAGGCAAACCACTCCCAAAGGATGCCACCGCTGACGGCCATGGACTGGGAGCTGGCAGACCAGACTACACATGTCCCATGACCACGCACAACCCGGTGGACCAGGACCGGTACCAAACATGTCCCAGTGGACCATGGTCATGCACATCCTCATGGACCAGGACCAGAACCATGCACATCCATCCTGATGGACTACACATATGCAGATAGACTAGGATCAGGACTCAGGACCACACATGTCCCCAGCAACCACGGCCAGGCACATCCTGATGGATCACGCACGTCCCGCTGGACCGGGACCAGGCACATCCCAGTGGCCCAGCCAGACCACAACATGCAGGGGGGATAGGAGTGGGTGCACGTGGCCTCTGATGGAGCAGAAGCCCCCAGCCCGGCCCGGGCAGCGCGGGGCACAGCGGGCGGGCCGGGGCTAGGGGAGCAGCCGGGGGTCGCGGGGTCCCGCCCCGGCCCCGCACTTACTTTTGAGGGCGGCGACGAGCGACTTCCCGTCCTTGATGAGCTCCTTGATGAACTTGTTGGTCTTGTCCAGCTCGGCCTCGTGGGAGCGCAGCCGCTCCCGGAACTGCGGGCTGTCTAAGCAGCACTCGCTGAACTCCAGCGCCGGCAGCCCCATGCTGCCGGGCACCGCGGGGGGAAACCGGCAAGAAACGGGGAAAAAAGGAAAAAAATCAAAGGTTTGCTAAGGTGAGGCGCGCAGCCGGCCGTGCGGGGAGCGGGTGGGAGCGCGGTGCCGGGCCAGGCCGGGCCGAGCCGGGCGGAGCGGGGCCGGGCGGAGCGGCGGGAGCGGAGCCGCGGCGGGGGCGGAGCTGCCGCCGCTCTGGGGCCGCCGCCCGGGCCGGGCCCGCGCCGCTGCCGCGCCACGCCCCCCGCGCGCCGACAGCCAATGGGCGGGCCCAGCACCGCCCCTCCGCGCCCGCTCAGCCAATCGGCGGCGGGGGCGGGGAAGGGCCCGCGCGGGGTCCGGCCCCGCGGCTCCCGCACCTGGGCCAGACCCGCCCGCGGGCAGCGGCGACACCGCAGCGGCGGCTCCGGGGGCGGCCCGGCTCTGCCCCGCTCCCGCCCCGGTCCCCGCGCCCCGGCCCGGCCCGCCCGTGGGGGAAGCCGCGCCCCGGCCTGCGCCGCTCCGGCCCGCCCCGTGCCCGCCCGGGTGGCGGCTTCGCACGTTTCTCCTCCCATCGCACATCTGTGGCGGAGATTATTGCCCGGGTTTACTGTGTGAGCTGAGAGAATAAACCCTTAATCTCCTGGAAGGGCTGATCGTGGAGGGGCGGCGGAAGCAGCCGGCACCACCGAGGGGCTGCGGGGCCCGACCCCGCCGACAAGTGCCATGACGTCCCCAAAAGAGCATCGTCCCACGGACGATGGCTGTCCACTTGTCTCCATGGCTGTCGTCACACACTCACCCGGCCACTTTGCCCTGCGGCCCGTTTCCTTCAGGAACACGCCAGGAATTTGGCCCGGGCGCAGCAGCTGCCTCATCACCTCCTTCCCTCGGCTGGGAGCCTCCAGGAGCAAACTGCAGCCCACCAAACAACTGATCCTCCTCGTCAGTCTTTCTGGCTGCCATGAGGTGGATGGTGGCAGCTACTCACCCCGAAAACGGGAAAGACTATCAGTGCCAGTCCCATGGAGCTGAGAAAATCAATTTCTAATGTAAACAATAGCACCAAGTCAAGACCCAGCCATCTCAAGCCACCCTGAGCCAACCCTCGGGCAGAGACATGCACAATGGAGCCAGCAGTGACCTCTCACCCCAGACTGTGACAAACAGACACATTTGTGGATAATCCCCAGATGACTGGAATTCCCCCGTTCTCCACCCCAGCCATCCAGGCTCCCGAGGAGGGCGAGGGCGGCTGGCGAACACGAGCCCCAGCGTGGCGCTCGTTCCGGATCGAGCGCGGCATTCCTGTCAACTCAGCCATGAAACGCAACGCGGGGCCTGTGCCAGCTTCGTGCTTCTCTGCAAACTGGGGAGAAGGGATGGTCTTGCACAAAGCTTGGGCTGACAGGATGGGCTCCAGCCCATGCCTGATGTCAAAAAGTTAATCCACCTGTGTTTTCCAGCGGGTGGATCCAGGCACAGGAACCTGACACCAGCTCAACCTTTTGTCTCTGCTTTTTTTATCCACTAAAGCACGATTCTCTCAATCTTCACACCACAGCCTAATTCAGGCTGAGTCACCGCCTTCAAATATGGTTTGCGAGCCACATTTTTTTGGATGAGGCCTCCTAATTATAAAAAAGGATGTAATACTAATTACATGCTTATCTTGTAGGCAGGATATAAAGTTTAATGAGCTGTCATTTACGCCGTATGCACACAGCCCCATAAAAGCACGAGATGTTATTATTTGGATTACATTCCTTAATTCTACACTGTACAAAGCCACAGGAGCATTATTTTGGTTTTATCCTTCTACATCACCATTGTTCTCGTTCATATTAAAAGTGTTCCAGCACTTACTGCTAAGAAGAACCTGTAACTAGATTTATAGGACACTGCCTTAGAGGATCAGAATATTTGAGGCTGGAAATTAAATTTCAGTACTTTTCCAGAACCACAGAAAAAGTGACAATGCTCAGACTGTCCTTTTCTGATGAAGACAGAATCAAGGCCTTACAAAGCTCTGTCACACGTGAAGCACCACACACACCACAGGACTGGAACTGAGGCCTTGGGAAGGCAGTGAGGACTTTTCTCCCCTTTTTCTGGCTTCATTCACCTGGAGACACTCATTGTGTTTGAGCTCCAAGTGTGGGAGCAGAGCAGGGCAGCATGCTGCACTGGGGAAAAACAGCCATGAACATCTTCCAGCTCCATTTTCCTAGGACTGTGCTTCCAAACAGTAAAAGAATATAAAATATCCTGAGTTGGAAGGGACCAACAGGGATCATCAAGTCCAACTGGTGGCCCTGCACGGGAATCCCACTATATGCCTGAAGGGAAAAACAAGCAACCAAAACCCCCAAATTCCACATCCTCCTGCCTGTAGCTAACAGCAGTTTGCAACCCTCTGCAATCCCTGCCATATTTACTTGCTTTATTTTTTTAAGCAACTGGATTGTCTCACCCCAAGCGAGCCAGGTCAGCTGGACACTGTGAAGGGATCCAGTAGCTTTGCCATTATCCCAACAGAACCCTGCCCACAGATCCCTGGGGCACAGTGCTGGGCCCACCAGCTCAGCGAGCACTCCTCTGAGCCTCTCCAAGGCTGTGCTCACACATCCTTCCTGCAGATGAAAGCTGCGGCGTCGTAATCCCACACTCCCACCCCTGAGCCCGTCCTTGACCACACATTAGCACATTCTCCCTTGCTCAGTCACCACCCCGCATCCCACAGCTCACTCAGTCAGGGAACAACGCCAGCAGAAAACTAGTCCAGCTTTAAAAACAAACAAAAAAAAAAAATTTAAAAGAGCAGTTTCTACCTAAATGAGCTGATTCTGGGATCAAGTAACCACAGGTGCAGGAGTGGGGGCTGCCACAGCCAAGTAGGAGGAAGAGGGAGACTGACAGAGGGCAGGGTTAGAGGAGATGTTAGGAAGAAATTCTTCCCTGTGAGGGTGGTGAGGCCCTGGCACAGGTTGCCCAGAGCAGCTGCAGCTGCCCCATCCCTGGAAGTGTTCAAGGCCAGGTTGGACAAGACTTGGAGCAACCTGGTGTAGTGGAAGGTGTCCCTGCCCATAGCAGGAGGTTGAAACCAGAGGATATTTAAGGTCCCTTCCAAGCCAAACCACTCTATTATTCTTTGACTGCAGTAGCATCAGATCAGTCCCAGCATTATCTCTGGATGGGTCACACAGCTGAATTAAACAGGTTTGTTTGAAAATCAGCAACTTTTTTTAGGGTGAGTTTTCCACTGGGAACATCTTCCCCATCTGAACACAGCATCTCCCCACCTCCCCATTCCTGCCACATCCTTGTGCTGGCTGCAGTTGTTATGGTCCCCCATAAAGCAGCAATTGCTAACACGGAATGAGGAGCCGCTTCTCCTCCAGGAGAGCTTTCTGCCAGTTAAGTGGCACTAGTCAGGTAAAGCCAGAGTGACAGCAGGAGTGGGAGGTGGGGAACCAGCCCTATCCCCACACAGCAGCTCTGAGTCCCCACGTCAGTTCACACCATCTCACATCTGTCCTGGAGCGACAGAGCCCTGCAGGGAGGCCAGTGCTGAGCACCAGCATCCACACACATGGACTGCAAGCCCTGCTGTGGGACCTTAAACCTGGTTATCCTACAACTGTCTTGTCTTGGGGATGACCCCCAGTCCCAGCAGCATTCCCACTGCTGTGAAAATCAGAACCACTGTTACGGGGGAAAGGAGGGTGGAAAACAACCCACTAACCAGGTCTCACAACACCAGTGGCTTGGGCACTAATGCATTTCAGCAAGTCCCAGGAGACAACAACAGGCATCCTGACTGTCAGAATCCAGGAGCTAAACGAGAGGTTTCTTGGAATTGCCCTCGGGCAGCAATGTTCAAGGTCTATTTATTATGTGACTGTATATCACACATCTTCCTTGCTCCCAGGATTTTTTTATTGAGCTAGGCACAGATGAGGCATTGTATATGGCAAAAATAAAAAAACCTTGTTCCAGATAAGACATTAGACCACTGCAATTAATCTCTGTGAATTCCCTGTTGTAATACAAAGGCCATGTATTGACCTGTTGTACTGACAATTTTCCAAGAGATCTGATCTTTGACCATGGACCTTTTGCTGGCTGTGAATACAACTCCAGGGTTGCATTCAATACAACACCAAGGGCTTCCCCTTCTCCCATGTCATCCTGGAAGTGTGCTCTGGGCGTTCTTATTTGGTACTTTTCCATGTGACTGCAGCAAACAGCCTTAGTGACACCTTCAGTGTAACAGAGTGCTCCCTCCACTGAGCATTTATGAGCTTTACATATAACTATCATGATTTTACATATATATATATATATATTACAGTGGAACAGTACTTTTCCTTCCCGCGTTGAACCTCTAGCAATCACACATGAATTTCCACCTACTCAGTTCTTTTTTTCCCTTCTCCAGCTCACTTTTCTCCTTACAGTCCCTCCTCCTGGCCTTCAGGCAGATTTGCAGGGGTGGGCGAAACAAGGCAGAAGATGGGAACAGCAGTGACACAGCTCAGCCTCTGCAGCGGGACAGATCTCCCTGAATTGAAAAGCAAACCAGGCTGGGGTTCCTGCTCCATCTGCAAACTCTCCTTAGCTCACACTTGTTAACCTCCAATAATTTTTTGCAATTCTCATCAGTAGCCACTTGTGCTGCCAAGTCTTCCCAAACACCAGAGGTTTGGTAACTGGTTTTGGAAGCTGGTTTCCCTTTGAATGGGAATATTGATGCGATATACTATTAGTCAGCCTGCGGTGTCCTACTTGCCACAATGATCTCCACATCTATCTCCTTCCAGGTCCCTAAATCAGTGTTCATGCCTTGGGCAATGAGTTCCTCTTCCCCACAGAGAGCACGGTGCTGTAACCGTAGCTGCTATGAGCCTGTTGTCTATTTAGGCTAATTGGCTTTGCCTCTTGCTCGTGCTCTGCAGTGCTCGCACCCGTCCAGACGTGCCCAGGACATGCCAGCTCCTTACGGCGCCGCCTTTGCCAAGCCACTCGCCTGGCACGTGCCTCTGGGAGGCATCTGGGAACACCAAGGAGACAGC